CAGAAATCAATGTGTCGGCCGTGTCGCCGGCTTGCGGAACCCCGACCCGCGGCAGCCCGTCCGCCGGCTCGGAGTCGTCGGCCAGGACCAGCGGCATTCGGGCCACCCCAGCCCCAGCACCAGCATCAGCACCAGCATACCGACAAGCGGTGGAGCGTCCACCAGCCGCGGCGCTTCTGCTGGACCACCCGGACCCAGTGGAAGGGTCCTCACGGAGGCGGTCCTGCAATCGCAGGAAGAAATCATCAGGGGGATCGCGGGGATCAACGAGCGGCTGGACCGGCTCGTAAATGTGCTCGAGCGTCTGGTGGCAAAAATAAATTAATTCAGCTCATTTAACTGTGTATTCACTTCTTACCCATTCACACTGTGGCAATGAGATTCTCCCGCGCGAGGACGGCGGCCCGGCATGGATCAGCTCGCATCCCTCCGTCTGCTGCTGGTTCGTCATGTGCAGCGACGTGCTGCTCGGCCACGGGGATGTGGTGCACGCTTGTCACATAGTGAGTCACCAAACACCGCCACACAGCGTCGCCAAAGTGCCGTCAACGCAAGTATCGTGTAGCGATTTCAAATTCAAAATGTCGAGAATTAATCAAATTAAATTATGACATTTATGCACTCGTTGAAGGGGCACCACCCACCTTTCTGGTGGGAAAAAGGACGAAACAAGGTTCAATTGAGTAATTAAACGTTGGATCAGTCTTAAACAGATTTAAATCAGTCTCTCATCTGAGGCCGGAATTCTTCATTCAGGGACTACTTTCTGAAAGACCACTAAGACGACAACTTAAAATTAAATGGACAATTTATTAACAAGCTATATGATAACAAAACGTCAATAAATGATGATCAAATAATGAGCAAATCAAAGCACATCTAATGAATAAACGAAGGAATGGTTTAAGTTAAACCTAAGACTGGAGGTTAATAATAGTGAGTGAATAAAGGGAAATATAACCTACGTTAACGGGTTACGAGGGTACATTAAAAAGGAATTTGGAGAACTAAACTATAACTTATGAGAGTAAGCTACTGAACGGTTGACGGCATCACCCAGTTCTCATCACAGCAATTTCGAGGATTTAGCCTACTTTGGACGTCGGTTCTCAGCGGCACTCTTGGAATGGATCAGCTGAAGTTCTGTGGCTACCGGACCGGATACTGAAGGTTCGGCGGGGAGTTCTTCCGCCGTGTCTGGATCTCAGCTTCAGGACCGTGTCAGCGCCGTTAGATACTTCAGATCTCTGGGCCTCTCGGAACCAGGTGGCAAAGCAGCTTGGCAGATGATGCTGGTCGGTGTTCAGGACTAGCTTAGTTGCAGATTAATTCGCGCCAATAACTTAAGAAAATAATTTCGCTGGCCAGCCGATATTATCTTCAGGAGTCACTTTAGCGAACAAAAATAAATAAAAAGACTTAGACTGAGGTTATCTTATGCGCGCAGCTTGTTACTGAGGCTTTAAAGAGACTTGGGAATGTTTCATCCAAGTTTAGAAGAAAAATCTGAGCTTAAGGCAATTAATAAAAACGCAGGGAAAATTGCGAACTATAGACGGAGACAAAGAAAACTACGAAGAAGACAAACTAGACTAAAACAAAAGACTAAAGAAGACAAGACTAAAACTAAAACAAGACTGAAGAGGCGGCAAAATCTCAACTCTTTTAAGCGATTCACCGTAGACGTGAACCAAAGATGAGAAAATGGGGGAGACCTCCCCAATGCAGCCCATCGACTGGCAGCGAATTAACTCAACTTGATAGTAAAAGCGAGCTAGATCTAATTTACTCACTCACTATGATTAAACTGTTTGTAACATCACATACGATCACATTTCACTTCATTGTTTCTTATGAGCAGATGCATTAAAGCATGACATTGAAAACAGTAAACTTTTGATCAGCCGTCTTCTTGATAAAACAAAACAGAGGATTAACGACTTTTAAAAGTTAGAGAGGGACAGAAAACAAATTATCTATTCGAACAGAAACACCATCCAGCATAAGAAACACATCCGTAATAATATTTGACAACACTATAACTTTGTCAATCAAGCTTCATAGATGATTAATATATATATTTGTGTGAGGTAGACAAAAGCATAGTATGGATACATTCAGAAACTCTTAACTTGAGTCTAAACGAGTTTCACGTTACTACTTCTAAACTACTAGCCTATCTTGGGAATACCATTTACTAAGCTACGAAGCGTATAAAACAAAAGGGAAGAAATACACATGATTAGATTCCTGCCATTTGACTCTGATCAAACCACATTCAGGCATCACCACTAGGAGGAGCTCTTGGTCCATGGAAAACCTGGAATAAATTTGTGAAGTTAACAGTTTGGCTTGTGGATATGTTACAGAATTGGGAAAAAGACCATTTCATTGAGAATGTGGTGTACAGACAGAAAATTCTGGTGAAGTGTCCATTAAACATGAAGTTAAACCATTTTCAGGCATCCTCTTCCTTCTGCTCTGTAAAGAAAGCCAAGGAATTTTATGGCAGGTATCTGGTTTTTCGGATTTGGCGCCAAATGGTTTGTTTTCCCTTTTAGGTCATTGGGTTAATCCTGAAGTGTCAATTCTGATCTTTCCCAGCCAGGGTGAGAGACTCCGTGTTTATGGGTCTGTGTGGTTGATAAGCAACTTGTCCTTTTTGGGAAGCGTTAAAGATTCACTATCACCTCCCAAATGGTTTCCTGGGTCGTAAATGGGAACTTGGTGTGCAAACCGTTTCTCCCCCATTTCCTATCCAAACCAGGGGAGCCTGCATTCCTTTGAGGGGTGGATTCAATGTGGATAGCAGAAAGCAGTTGTCTCGTTACAAATCCCCCCTTCGTCTCGATGGCAGCTCCAGGAGCCATTGGGACGACGAGATGAGACGACCAGGCGGAAGCAGCAGTTAGTCCAAGGAGGGTGATGCGTCTCATTCAGGACTAGCTACTTCGTTAGATCTACTGTATGTGTTAAGCCTACTAAATCTATGGGTGCGGGGTTACAGGAAGCTGACTACACCTCGAGCATGTGGCTCACCTGGTCTTCCTCTGGCTGTTCAACTCCCTGTTCCGTTTCCGGTTGTCGACGGAGTCGTAACCTAGTTACACACTGGTCTATTTTGTACTGTAGGGCTTTACCACGTTTGACGTAGATGAAGGTTAACCCGAAGGTCAGGAGATACCCTAACACTATGGCGGCTGCTAGTAAGGTGTCTGGGGTGGACCAAACATAGACTATTGGTTGCAGCGGGGACTTCTCTTGGGACCTTATGTCTATAAGGACGTCATCTACAGGCGTTAGGTCAATGATCTGAGTACCTGCATACTGGATTTGAGAAATAGTGTTTGGATCTAACTGCAGCGTATGCTTGCTGAAAAACGCTGGCACTTCAATCTCTGTTTCGAATTGCTCAGGGTTGAGGTAATAGAGGGCAATGTCATCTATATGGAGAATGGCATTTGGTGGCACCTCAATCCACATGGTCTGATCCAGTAGAGAAATGCGTGTGGCAGTATCGTGCTGGTCGTAATTTACAATGGCAGTCTTGGTGGGGGTGTTAACTAACCAACGGTGGCCCACTCTTTCGACCTGCGTTACAGTCACTTGTGAGCGGTGTCTTGCTGTAGTAGGGCATTTGGTGTCGGCCACCATGGGCGTAAGGCCGCAGAGGCCATTAGTACTGTCCCACACAAATGGTTTACTGGGGCAGAGGTAGTGTATGTCTTTAGTTCGTGTGCACATACGCAGGTTAGGAGCTAGATATAGGTCAGGATTGCTGTCGTGGTAAGCGACCACTGGTGGGGTCTGAATTTGGAGGTGTGCGTCCTCTTTCCAAAACCCGACATTGACTACATCCTTTAGCCTATAGATGCTTCCTGATGCTATAATTGGCAAGTTAATAAGGAAAGCAATTTCTCGATCTTCGGGATTAACGTAGATCGGCACAGCGCTACCTAGGGTATACGCGAGGTGGGCTTGTAAAGGAGTGGTGGCCTCTCTGGTTGCAGTTGATAGTAAATCCTGAACCAATGAGAGGGGTACCAAGTACGGAGGAATCCGGCCTGCAGCCAAGCTGTCTATTGAGGATGATATTTCTTGCAACATGTCTGACATGAGCATATTCAACAGCATTGTGTGAGCATAGTCGACCTGGACCACCGACAACAATGAATTTACAGCACGCAGCGTCTTATTCAGGACTTCTGTGTGGGTGTTAACCACCAGAACGGTGCCCTTGACTGTTTGACCAATAGTCTGCAGTTGTGTCTGCTGTCTGTATATCTGAGCCCTGATGTCTGGGATTTCGGCTTCTAGCTCGCCCACATGGCGTTTGACGGCAGCTAAGCTAATTGCATTAACAGAGGAGAGCCCAACAACCGAGACTGCGGTGAGCAGTGCTCCGATAAAACGCTTGGACCTCCTGTTGGTACCACTTAACTCTGTTTGAGAGACAGTGAATTTCTGAAGTTGCTCTAACATGTAAGTAATGTCCAACTCGGCGTGATTTACGACCTGCCTGCTCCAATGTGTCCCGGCCCAACTGGTCAGTTGAGCTGTTACCGAAACATTTTTCTTGAGGACTTCCTTAGGGTTGAGCCTGACAAACACCTTCTGTGTGTGCAGGCGACAGTCTGTTATCAGGAGTCCAGGCTGATCCCTTAACACAATTCCAGAGTCCGGTCCTGGCTCTACGATCTCAGGGCTAGCTGGAGCAGCTACCAAGCCGAGAATCAGGAGCGCTATCAGCCAAATCATCCTGAGGAAGAGGGTGGACATAGTTAGGATGAGTTGGTATAGGACAATCTAGAATTCAAATGCTCCCTGTCACTTTATTTTCTCCTCCCCCCTTTGTGACCCAAAGTGTGCCCGAGGGCAACTCAGTGGCAACAATTCAACACCAATACAGACGCACAAATAGGATAAACTTCACGTAGACACAATATCTATGAGGACTGGGGGACCTGACGTCAATCAGGAGAACTTGGGACTGTTCTAGTTTATGACTCAAGGGTGGCGCTGGAGGCCCCGACAAGTCCCATGGGGTTGTGGTGAAGTTTAATCTGGTTGCGGTGGACCCATTTAAGGATCGGCTCTTTGTTGCCCTTTGCGATCTTAATTTGGTACACAACAGAAGAGAGCTTTTCAGTGATCAGGTACGGGCCTGCCCAGCGGGGCAGGAACTTTCGTGCCAGTCTCTCAGACTTTGGGGCTTTATCTCCAGTGGGCTGGGTGAACAGGTAGTACCACACCTTGTCACCCACTTGGAGTTCCTGTTGGGAGGCTTTTTGGTCATAATAGGACTTGCGTCCTTCAGCACTTTTGCTGAGATGCTCTTGGGTGTAGGCAAACATTGCCTTCAGGTGCTGGTGTAAGTCAGTCATGTACTGATGGGTCGTGTAGGCCGTTGCTATACTGGCCTCACCTGGCTGATACAGCAGGTGCAGAGGTAGGGTCATCTGTCTGCCCGTCATCAGCTCGAAGGGTGAGAACCCGGTTGACCCATGTGGAGTCGCTCTGATGGCCATCAGGACCAAGGGAAGCTTAACATCCCAGTCCTTGTGGTTGGCTGACACATACTTTTTCAGTATGGTTACCACTGTTCGGTTTGCCCGTTCTACCTGTCCAGACGACTGAGGGTGGTGGCTGATGTGAAAGTTGGCTTTGACGCCCAACAGTTGCCACAGTTGTTGCATTACCTCTGAGGTGAAATGTGTCCCTCTGTCAGAGTCGACACGAGTTGGGAGTCCGAACCGCGAGAAGATGTGGTTCATCAAGAGGTAGGCTGTGGTCTGAGCCGTATCGTTTGGGGCTGGTAGGCATTCTACCCATTTGGTGAATGCACAGACGACTGTGAGGAAGTATTTGTTTCCTCTTGCTGACTTAGTGAGAGGACCCACCCAATCGATCTGGAGGTCTGACCAAGGAAAGGAGATACCTCTGCGCTGTAGAGGTGCTCGATGAAGTGGGTTTGCCGGTTGAAACTGGCAGCAAACCAGGCACCCTTTTATGTAGTCAGCTACATCTTTCTGCATGTGTGGCCAATAGGCCACCTGTTGGAGAGCATGGAGCGTGGCTTTGTTTCCTCTGTGTCCTGCGCACGGTGTGTCATGGGCGTATGTCAACATCACCCCCCTGTGGCTGCGAGGCACCACGAGGGCAGGCGAAGTGAGTGCATCGGAGACATAAACCAGAAAGCCCTCGACGAGCCGCAGTGAAGAGCGCACGCGGAAAAGATGGCGCAGGCCAGGGATGGAGTCAAGCAAGTCAGGAGGCATGGAGGAGTCAGGAGGCCCTGAAAGGAACTGCGTCATGGCAGCAATGGCTGGGTCCGAAGCTTGGAGCGCCAGCAAGTCAGAGTCAGAAAAAGCCGGAGCCACAGTGGCGGAGACCGGGCCCGAGGGAGCCAGGCGAGGTGGAGCTCGAGACTGGGCTCTGGTGACAGCACAAACCAGGGGCACGGGTGGGAGGGGAAAAACAGAGGGCTCAAAGTGCCAGTTTGAGCCAGTTAAGGCCCCCTGCTTGGCCAAGGAGTCAGCCTGGTCATTAAACATCTTGTCTGGACCAGGAATACGAGAGTGCCCCCTGACTTTCTTCCAGTAGATCTGAAGATCATGGTTAGAGGTCAAGAAGTCGCACGCCAGGAACAGATCTTTGTGTTTGACCGGCTTTCTGTTCGAGGTCAAGAAACCGTTGCGTTTCCACAAAGGCAGATGGCATGAGAAGCTGAGTCGCGCATAGTTGGAATCTGTACAGATCGTCAAGGCGTGGATTTTGTGTTCCACCGCAAGTTGCAAAACAATCAGAATGCCTGCCACTTCAGCATACTGGGACGTTTGGGCCCCTAGGTTGAAGCTGAGTGGTTCGCACGGTTCGTCGTTGACCCAGACAACACCCACGCCTGCTCTGAGAACAGTGTCGTGATGGTATGAGCAACCATCAACGTAAGCTGTAATCATGTCTTTGCAGACATTGTCGTCGAAGTATCGGTGGCAAGATAATTCAGGTGGCTCGGGGTCGCAGGTTGGGGACCCTGTGTCCGCGCTGTCTGTCAAGCAGCTTTGGCACGCTGCGAGTTCCATCCCGAGAGGTGTTTTGCAGTTTTGGGCGTAGTGGACCTCGATGTCAAAGCTCTGAAGAGCCATAAGCCAAGATGCTACACGAGCGTTGGTTACAACGCCGTCTCTGATTCTTTGGCTGTTAAGGAAGGTCACTGGTTGATGATTGGTTTCCACAATCACCTTTTGGCCTGCAAGATAATTCGAAAAATGCTTCACAGCCCACACAGTGGCGAGAAGCGCCTTTTCGCAGTCGGAGAACTTCAGTTCAGGAGCCAACAAGGTTTTGCTAGCATACGCGACGACTCGTTTATCTGAGTCATGGATCTGGTATAATCCTGCACTGAGGCAGTGACAAGAGAAACCAACCTCCAGATAGGACGGTCTGTTGCAGTCTGGGTAGGCAAGACAAGGAGCTGCACAGAGTCTGTCTTTTAAAGCTTGCATGGCGTGTTGTTGGGACGGTCCCCAAGTGAATGGCACATCCTTTTTCAGTAAGTTGGTGAGGGGTTTTGCTAAGTCTGCATAGTCCTCAATGAACTGTCTGGAGTAGTTGCATACTCCCAAAAAGCTGCGAAGCTCTGAGACGTTCGTGGGAGCTTTAAGGTTTGACAGTCCTTGAATTCGACTCAGCTGTGGTTCGACCCCTGTTGGACCAACAAGCAAACCGACGTAGTTCACCTTGGTCCTGCACCACTGACATTTCGACAGAGATATCTTTGCCCCGGCGTTCGTGAGCTGGTTCAGGACATGGTCAATCTCAGTGAGATGCATGTCTAGGGTTTGGCTCCTCATTAAGATGTCATCGACATATATGAGGGTGCCTCTCTCACTAGCATCTGGGCAGGCTTTGTTAAGAAAGATGTTGAACTCTGCTGGCGAGTTGGCATAGCCGAAAGGGCATCGGGTGAAGGTGTACTGCCTGTTGGCAAAAGTGAACGCCAGTTTGTGCTGGTCAGCTTCCTGTACTGGTATCGTCCAGAACCCTGATGCCACGTCAAGAGTGGAGAAGTATCTCGCGTCAGTGATCTTTGGCAGATCCTGTTGGAGCTGAGCCATAGGCCACCTGGAAAGGGGAACTTGTTGGTTCAGTTTGCGGTAATCAATGGTCAGTCGCCATTTACCGTTTGGTTTCAGTACCGGCCAGAGTGGGGCTGAGTAGGTACTGTTACATGGCCGAATGATCCCTTTCGCCAAAGTATCGTCTATGATTTCCTGAATAGGTTCATAAGACGCTAAGGGAATTTTGTACTGGCATACAAAAGTTGGTGGTGCATCTGGTGGTGTTGGAATGCGGATAGAGTGGATAGAGGTTAAGCCACAGTCAAGCGAGTCTTTTGCGAAAGAGGCTCGATATTTGTGCAGAAGTTTGCGAGGCTTTTCACGCTCCTCTTCGCCGTTCAGGGCGTCTGCCTCAGCTACGAGCTGTTCGACTTTGGCGTCAAAGTCTGGATCGTGCTCAGGTGTTTGCACGGTTGGGAAGATAGAGGGTTCTACCCCGGAAAGTGTTTGGGCCGTTTCTGGCTCCGAACTGACGCTTAGGACTTGCACTGTGTGCAGGATCATCTGTGAGTCCTCAGAGAGGTCGACCTGACAGATGGTGTCGTGGTCCAGCGGTACAGTTGGGAAGAGCGAGATAGCCCTGGAAGGTAGGGTATGAAAGACCTGTTCTGACGAATGGTCTGACATCAGAGAACGGGGCATTTTTCCTATTACAGGAATCCTCAATTCAAAGTCGTGGAACGACGTGCTGATCAACCAACCCAGCGGGGTGGATTTAGGGATCAGGATATCTTCTGATGTCGTGTTTTGTACAAGCAAATGTGTGAATCTCGAGTGAAGTTCAAGAAGAGGAGTTGCTTGAGTAGACAGCCCTAGTTTAAGAAAGAGCAACGACGGCTGGAAGAAAGCTTGAGTGTGCGACAGCTTTTGTCCACGTTGTAGGTTCAAGCGAATGGGAACATTTGTGGTCATTGCAGGTATGACAATGTCAAGTTCACTGGCTACCTGACAGGCTTCAGGGATCGACTGTCCTGATATGATGTTGTCAACATCAGGGGTCAGGGTTTCCTCATTAACACTGGTAAGGGACCACAGTATGTTGTTAATGGTATCGACCTGGACTGCCAACCTGACCAGTATATCACTTCCCATGTAGACCTGATGTGGTAGGTCTGGGATGACCAAGAAGTGGTGAGTCATCTCCCTTTTGTTCCATCGCACAGTTAAGGCACAGACGCCTTCAGCAGTCATGGTAGCTTTAGGAAGGGAGTCCAAGGGGAAGCGAAATGCTTTCCGAACACACTGGAGGTTCGGGTCATCCCTAGACAAGGCGTCGTACAGTTCACGGCTGATGGCTGATCTGTCAGCCCAAAGAGCCAAAATCACATCGTTGACGTGATTCTCATTCAAGTTAATGCCTTCAGTGATCAATGGCCCAGGCGTGTCCGGTCCATTGGTGTCGTCAAATTTGCACAAAAATGTGTCCCTCTTTATGACTGAGTCATCGAAAGGCCACGAGCAGGGTTGTGGCTCATCGTCAGTCAAGTAGGGTCGCTCCAGTGAGCTTACACTTGTCTGTGTGCTTGTAGAAAGTTCACGCGTCAGGGCGTAACACTGAGCCCGATTCTTGTCGGTTGCTGGTATGGGTAATGGTCTGCGGACCTGTGCCCATATTTTCAGCTGTCGATAATCGATCAGGGGCTCAAACCGTTTTAAAAGGTCTTGACCGATGAGGAAAGGAATCGACTCAAGGGGTGACACATACACGGGGTGTATGATTTTCATTGGTCCAATGGAGATGTTCAACATCGTCATTGTTTTTAAGGTCGTACTGTCTGTGGAGTACGGCCGAATCTCCATGGCGCAGGGCTGCAGCTTGATGTCCCTGTTGGACTGCTGCACCATATTGCGCAAGCGATTAAAGAGAGTGGAGGACATCAGAGTGATGTCAGCAGCAGTGTCTAGGAGTGCTTCGTGTTGAAGTTCATTTTCAAGGACGGTATTAACGTAAAACTTCTGTGCGATGCCTTTCTCAGTGAGGTTGCACAAGAATTGGAGGAAAGGTGGTTCAAGCCGAATAAGTGAGGAGTCTTCTTCGGCTGGCTCCTCTGTGGAGTTCGCCTGTACTACCAAGACGGCGCTGGTAGATGTCGTTTCTTGTGATGTACTGTCCTGAGGTTCAAGATCGACAGGAGTGTCAGCTGGTGAAAGTGTCACCGACTCCTGTAAGGACATACACATGTCCTCCTGAACTGCAGTCTGCTGGACAGGCATCATGTTTGGCTCAGAAGTGTCATCCTGGACGATGGCGACAGCGACAGAGAAGAGATCTGCTTTCCTTTTCTCTGTATTCTACGGATTATTTGTCTAAGGAGTTTGCGTTCTTCCTCTGTCAGATCAGAGGACTTTGATTCACCCTTAGATCCGCCTTTAGATCCACTACCCTTCTGGGGAGGGTCTGATTTGGCCTTTGTACCCATCTCTTCGTCAGAAAGTGCTGACTGAGACTGCGGGTAAGGTCGCTCTGAGTTTCGTTCTCTGCGTGGGCCATATCGAACTGACCGGTCTCTCCACCCCCTGTTGTCAGGTCGGTAGGGCCGATGGGTGTCATACCTTCTAGGGTGAGCCCCATCCCTGCGAGAGTACGAGGGTGGACGATCTTCGTCAAATCTGACCTGGTGTTGTTCACTGTCAGACCGAGGCTGCTTCAGGTTTTGACCTTTATCAGCTGGCTGATATCGGGAAGTTTTCAGATTCTGGGTTGGTCGGGCTGTTGCAGTTTGAGGTGCATCTGAATGCGCACCCATGGCACCGCCCTCCAGATCTAGGGGCATGGACCTTGTGTCCACAGCCAAGACCGTACCAGGTTCGGCTTTCTTAGATTAGGTGTGTCGCTGTTTAGCGAAGCCTTTTACAGCCAGTTCGCGGAGCTGTCTGCTGTTTAAGGTTCGGGGACAGGCAGCAACACCAAGGTGATGACTCGTGGTCGGATGGAGGTTTTGAACAAACAAAGTCTTAAAGTTTAGATCTTCCTCCATTTCAGGTTCATTTTGACAACCAAAGTAAGCCTGGCGAAGGCGACTGTAGTACGACTGGGGAGATTCCTGTCTCTCCTGTTTGACTAACAGTGCAGCAGCTAAACCAGTGGGTGTGAGGGAGTCAGAGAACTCGTCAACTAATGCCTGACACAGCAGGTCATAGTCGTTCTTGACCCGACGCGGTTGTCGTTCAATGAAGCTGCTAACCTCTCGATTGGAGGTAGCTTTGATCAAGTAGATTTTGTCATCCACAAGAGCACCTGGACACTTTCTCAAGTAGAAGTCGATGTCTTTCAAGTAGGTGCTTGGGTCTTCTGAACCTTTTCGACCGGGTTCAAATCGTGTGATGTTACGAGCCATCTTGTCCAGATCCCTGTCTGTGGGATATGCCGCTTCTGAGGTTGGTAACTCAGGGAACGATACCCGGAAGGTGTTGGTTGGTGAAGGGGTGACAAAGTATGACCCGAGTTCCGTCCATTGTCATCCGGACTTGATCAACCTGAATGTCCTCTGGGGACATGACTCGGTCGAAAGGTAGGGAATGGGAGTGTCTGTAGACTGCTTGGCGAGCTTCGCCTGCTCTGATCTTGCTGGGGTTGACCCAGACTAAGTTTCCTCTGAGTCTCGAGGAGCATTTGCTTTAGATTAGCAGAATGTCTCTCTTCTGCTTCGAGGGCCACCCTTTTGCTTTCAAACTGGGCCTTCCAGTCCCTTGCATCAGTTGAGGACTGATCTAGGTTGCTTTTCACTCTTGACAACTCCTGTAATTGTTCATGAATGGTGGACCTAGCGTCCGAAAGCTGAGCTTCCTTTTCCTCAATGGTGTCATGCAAGTCTGAGATTTGGGTTACTAAGGAAGGGTCTTGATCATGTTTGGGATGGAGGCCTCTGCTTGCATCTCATCCAAACGGTCTTGAGCTTGCTGTAGAGCCCTTTCAGTGCCTCCCAGCTCCTCCTTGAGATCATCAATTTCCTTCATTTGTGCCCGTATCTGTTCTTGGGCCCTCCCCATGGCTTCGTCTTGTCTCTTAATTTGGACAGACATCACACAAGCCAAGCGTGCTAAAGCTTTGGGGATCTCTTTCTCTTTAGGTGGGTGTTCTGTGACCCAATCGATCACCTCATTCAACACAGTTTGAAGCCCATTGTTATCAGTGCGATTCGCTTCGTCTACATAGCCTGGGAGCAGCGGCTGAGTCAGAGTTGTCAGCGCATGCTTTAGCTCCTCACTGAATAGTTGCCAACTTGCCTCCTTACGTTCTGCCATGTTGCTTCAAGTTTAGTAAGGTTGGTAGGTTAATGAGTTTAACAAAATAGCCGTGCCTATAAAGCAAATTGAGAAAAGCTGTGAATTTAGGACCAGAAGATAAGCGCTTTAAGCAAAGTCTGGTTCACGCTAAAATAGCTGGATGTTTATTTCCGGAATGAAACAAACAAAGGAAGCTAAAACAGAATTTGGATTTTAGCTGAAAAAGTATTGCGTACAAAAATCAAACCTAATCACAGCCAAATCTCGTAGTCCAAACCGGATTTGGTCAAATAAAATTTACAGAAAGGAGTACAGGGAAACCTTTAAAGTAAATAGCGGATTGTCAGCTAAGCGTGGAAGGAAGGTAAAAGCTGAAAGTAATCAGGATCAACAATGCAGTTGTAGATGCAATTAAATCTTTCAAGTCTTCACAAGATAATCAAAGTAAAATTGTCCAAATTCAATTGACCTAAAGGAATAAAACAAAAATTCTGATCGTAGGTTGATTAGGGAATTATTGAATTAATTGATTAATGTTACATTAATGAATTAATTAACTATTGCCCTAAGTCTGTGATCACATTTAAGTGTTTTATAAAGGGTAACAGAAAGATGGAGGCAATGAACAATGATTACAGGATGACAAAGATTTGATTCAGCTATTCTCCTTGATAAGGCAGGTGATCTATCTGTATAAAGTAAAAATAAAAGTTGTTTATCAAGTAAATCAACGTTTTATTTGTAGTACAGAAAATAAAGACTCAATCAACCAACTCAATCTGACTATGTCTGCATGGCATCTGTTTGACAACAGGGAGGCGTGGCAGTCGGCTAGACTGCAGTCTGTTTACAATGAGGTCCAAGCAAAACAAAGGCCACGTGGCTGTGAGCCGGCTTGCAGTGCTTGCCGCTCACCACACGAGGGCGATGTTCTAGGGGGCGGTTCAACCGCTCCGTACGTCGCAACGCGACGTTATGATGTAGCTATTGGCTCCACCCCTCGGGGTGGCCTGCCTATTCAACACTGGCCGAGTAGTCTCTCCAATGGACACCAAAGGGTTAACACCTCTCTGCGGCTGCGCGCGCAGTGGCAATGGGAAAATTCAACGCTGCGTCTCTAACAGCGGATTGCTTCACCAGACTCCTCTGGGAGTAACAAGAGTTTACACAGACAGATCTTACAACAGCAGACAAAACTGCTGACTTAAATTCACGAAATGCGGCGATTTGTGAAAAAGAATCGTGTCTGAAATCACTCTAACAACCTCTCACTGGAAACAGTGATCTCCCGCGACAGGTAGCTAATCTGCCGGGGGAATGAGGGATAAACTGAATCCTTTACAGTTACTAGAACTTTGTAGCAGACTATACAGGGTTCAGGGACTCGGAACCACGGCTCGGAGCTTCGCGAACACCGGGTCCGGCCCAAGGCCTTCTAATACAAGCGTACGGCGACGCTGAAATTGTGCACTCAAAAGTCAACAATCTGGGTACGCGCGTCGGCGGCGCGCAGAGCAGACAACGCAGTCTCGCTGCGATCCAAAACAATGATCCACGTGGTCTAGGCTCACACACAAACGTATGCAGCAGCAAAAACAGCGCTTTAACAAAGAGCTCAATATCGTCAGAACATGAAACAGAAAATACATCAAACGCCCAGTTCAGCAATTTCAAAAAGCATCAGACATACATTAAGCAAGCAATCCAGTAATTTCAGCAAGCATAGCATAGATCTTAAGAAGTCTAAGTTGGGAAAGTTTGAGTTTCTCACTAGTTTGGGAACCTAAAATAATCTTAAAGTTGTCTGTTAGTGCCTTACAGAAGTCGTTTGAACGAGCCTCGCACGGCCGCACCAAACACTGTAGCGATTTCAAATTCAAAATAAATGTCGAGAATTAATCAAATTAAATTATGACATTTATGCACTCGTTGAAGGGGCACCACCCACCTTTCTGGTGGGAAAAAGGACGAAACAAGGTTCAATTGAGTAATTAAACGTTGGATCAGTCTTAAACAGATTTAAATCAGTCTCTCATCTGAGGCCGGAATTCTTCATTCAGGGACTACTTTCTGAAAGACCACTAAGACGACAACTTAAAATTAAATGGACAATTTATTAACAAGCTATATGATAACAAAACGTCAATAAATGATGATCAAATAATGAGCAAATCAAAGCACATCTAATGAATAAACGAAGGAATGGTTTAAGTTAAACCTAAGACTGGAGGTTAATAATAGTGAGTGAATAAAGGGAAATATAACCTACGTTAACGGGTTACGAGGGTACATTAAAAAGGAATTTGGAGAACTAAACTATAACTTATGAGAGTAAGCTACTGAACGGTTGACGGCATCACCCAGTTCTCATCACAGCAATTTCGAGGATTTAGCCTACTTTGGACGTCGGTTCTCAGCGGCACTCTTGGAATGGATCAGCTGAAGTTCTGTGGCTACCGGACCGGATACTGAAGGTTCGGCGGGGAGTTCTTCCGCCGTGTCTGGATCTCAGCTTCAGGACCGTGTCAGCGCCGTTAGATACTTCAGATCTCTGGGCCTCTCGGAACCAGGTGGCAAAGCAGCTTGGCAGATGATGCTGGTCGGTGTTCAGGACTAGCTTAGTTGCAGATTAATTCGCGCCAATAACTTAAGAAAATAATTTCGCTGGCCAGCCGATATTATCTTCAGGAGTCACTTTAGCGAACAAAAATAAATAAAAAGACTTAGACTGAGGTTATCTTATGCGCGCAGCTTGTTACTGAGGCTTTAAAGAGACTTGGGAATGTTTCATCCAAGTTTAGAAGAAAAATCTGAGCTTAAGGCAATTAATAAAAACGCGGGGAAAATTGCGAACTATAGACGGAGACAAAGAAAACTACGAAGAAGACAAACTAGACTAAAACAAAAGACTAAAGAAGACAAGACTAAAACTAAAACAAGACTGAAGAGGCGGCAAAATCTCAACTCTTTTAAGCGATTCACCGTAGGCGTGAACCAAAGATGAGAAAAGGGGGGAGACCTCCCCAATGCAGCCCATCGACTGGCAGCGAATTAACTCAACTTGATAGTAAAAGCGAGCTAGATCTAATTTACTCACTCACTATGATTAAACTGTTTGTAACATCACATACGATCACATTTCACTTCATTGTTTCTTATGAGCAGATGCATTAAAGCATGACATTGAAAACAGTAAACTTTTGATCAGCCGTCTTCTTGATAAAACAAAACAGAGGATTAACGACTTTTAAAAGTTAGAGAGGGACAGAAAACAAATTATCTATTCGAACAGAAACACCATCCAGCATAAGAAACACATCCGTAATAATATTTGACAACACTATAACTTTGTCAATCAAGCTTCATAGATGATTAATATATATATTTGTGTGAGGTAGACAAAAGCATAGTATGGATACATTCAGAAACTCTTAACTTGAGTCTAAACGAGTTTCACGTTACTACTTCTAAACTACTAGCCTATCTTGGGAATACCATTTACTAAGCTACGAAGCGTATAAAACAAAAGGGAAGAAATACACATGATTAGATTCCTGCCATTTGACTCTGATCAAACCATATTCAGGCATCACCACTAGGAGGAGCTCTTGGTCCATGGAAAACCTGGAATAAATTTGTGAAGTTAACAGTTTGGCTTGTGGATATGTTACAGAATTGGGAAAAAGACCATTTCATTGAGAATGTGGTGTACAGACAGAAAATTCTGGTGAAGTGTCCATTAAACATGAAGTTAAACCATTTTCAGGCATCCTCTTCCTTCTGCTCTGTAAAGAAAGCCAAGGAATTTTATGGCAGGTATCTGGTTTTTCGGATTTGGCGCCAAATGGTTTGTTTTCCCTTTTAGGTCATTGGGTTAATCCTGAAGTGTCAATTCTGATCTTTCCCAGCCAGGGTGAGAGACTCCGTGTTTATGGGTCTGTGTGGTTGATAAGCAACTTGTCCTTTTTGGGAAGCGTTAAAGATTCACTATCAACTCCCAAATGGTTTCCTGGGTCGTAAATGGGAACTTGGTGTGCAAACCGTTTCTCCCCCATTTCCTATCCAAACCAGGGGAGCCTGCATTCCTTTGAGGGGTGGATTCAATGTGGATAGCAGAAAGCAGTTGTCTCGTTACAATCGGCTCAACGCCAACTTCTACACCACCTCCTCACTTTGCGTTGATTAGCGCTGGAACCGACGCTCGTGTTGCGATGATAAATCTGGACGTGTGCGCCGATCTTGGCGGACACAAGGTTTTCTGGCGCCGCCAGCGTTGATACATGAGGCCCCAGGACTTTTACATCTTGGTAGGTAGTTGTGAATCTGAGCAGAAAAGATTACATGTGGGGTCCCCCAGGGCTCCATCCTTGGGCCACTTTTGTTCTATATTTATATGCTCCAACTAGCACAGATCATGGAGTATCATAACATCTCCTACAACTTGTATGCTGATGACACAAAACGTTACATTTAAGTGTCACCATATGACTATAGTCCCTGATTAAATGTATCCAACAAGTCAATCAGTGGACGAGCCACAACTTTCTCCAGCTCAATGCAGAAAGGACAGACATCAATGGGCTCTATTTTCGTGCCCCATCGGCGGCGTAGCACAGGCGCGGTGTAAGTCAGGTCCGCCGTGCCAATAAGGCGTGCCCAAGCACATTTTGGTATTTTGGTGAGCAGCACAGCCTGGCATAAATATCCCGCCTCCCTAACTCAGCTCCTACCAGCGGCGTAAGTCGTAGGGAGGGAGGAGAGAAGGCGTGGAGTGGGTTTAACACAGGCGAGACCTGTTTTCGCCAATCACATCAGCTCCTCTCCTCACCTTTAAATCCACCACCGGTGAGGCAATTACAATTTTCGTGAAGTAGTCAAAGAGATCAAGAGATGGCTGAAGACAGCAATGCCACACAATGGCGACAGAAGGCAGCCCCTCAACAAGTGTCACTGTAAGCGCTGCGTAGTGCGTCCTTCACTCTCTCTCAAATAAGCACAGAGGGATTTGGTGTGTGTAA